TTGGCCCCCCCCATTTTGTTCTTTGAATATCTCAAAAAGGTGATGGTACAAATCGAACTAAAAACGGTACAAATCGGGTACTAATCACACCAACTGATAAACCATTGAAAATCAAAAATTGTGTGGCCAACTTCACGGACCTTATAAAAATATATTTTTTATAAATATATATTAACGTTAAAATGTAATGTCTGATTATTGGTTAACAGAAAACAAGGGAATCCAATAGAACTACGAATAGAAATTCTTCAAATTCAACTACTTTTTACTTTATCACATTTTTCTATTTTTATTTTTAATTATGTACAAAGAACGTAACTATTACATGTTCTAAATAAAGATAAAACCTTTAGCCTTTTTTTGAAGTGAGATGATAGCGTTATATTTCATAATGGTAACCGTTAACTTTTATTAAGTAACATGCCCAACTCGGGTTGTGTGCATATCATAGCTTTAAAGAATCTCATGGATACATATTTAGCATTGATTACTTGGTTGGATTTACTATTATCTTGTAATATTTCAGCATTTATTAGACACCTCACTATCACAAATTATATCATCAATATTTTCATTAAACTTACTATTAAATTCTAAATACGTACAAATGAAGCCATGTCTTAATTTGTCATTGAATACATTATTTAATTATGAAACTTTCTTCAAGGCCAGAGATACCTTGGATATTTATTTCATCAAAATTCTTTGGATACATATATTTCACATTCGTTATAATCACTATTCGTTAATTAATCGGATCTTCAATCGGATCTTGAGCGTTCATCACTTTACATCCTCCTTGTTAGGCTAATTCGAGTTTTTAGCATTATATTTTGTATCCAGATGTTATCTGGCAGTTTTTAATCAAGAATATTTTTATTTAAATTTATAGCCATTTTCATAGCTTTATTTTAAATGAAGGTAAAGATGATAAAAGATGGCATCTTCAATCATTTTCCAAGCTGATAAATCTTCAAATTTTGTTTGAAGATGTAATGAGAGCCGCCCAATTATTTCAAAAAATTAAAGCAGATTTAACGTTTTAAATTTGGTCAGATTCTAAATTAAAGATTTAGCCTGATAATATTTTTCCCTTATAGATCAGGTGTATGCCCTCTTCATCATAAAACTGTATAAGGTCTTTATCATGTGCCCACCACCTTGTTCCACATATATATTTGGAGACTTAGCAGTCTCTTTTAGCTAAATAATTTATTTTCAGATTAACTGCTGTCTTGTACTACATATACTACTAGTTTGCTCCCTTTTTTTATGGAACAGTATTAATAACTTATTATTAGAGAACTTCTTCCTGGATTTTAATTTATCGGGAAGTTACAGCTTTCCTTTTCTACTATTGCTCTTGAAACTTTTCTAAATGGTGTCTAAGTATTTTATCCTTTTTTTATATGATTTATATAATCTCAAAGGAAATTCCCATGTTTTAAATTTTCAGTTTCAAAAATTGATATGTTTCATTGTGGTTTGATCTTCTGTAGGAATTGTATATGGATATCATTGCATTTAATATTTTAAAGCTAATTAAATTATATTTAAATAATAAATTATAAAATATATAAAAATGTTAATTAATCAAGACTTGACTTTCATTTAATCGGAAACGCTTTCTTGAGAAAATGTAAAAAACCCATATAATAGAATCTAAATGATAATCCTCAAAAAATGAATTGATATAGTATTCTAGGAAAGGAAATATGACAACTTTTATTATATTAAATATATGAATATTATAAAAGAAAAGAAAAGTCATAACTTATATGATAAAAAGAAATAATTTATATTTTATTTTTGTTTATCGGTCCTTTTTTTCATTTTTTTATCAATTAACCTCAAAAATCGTTATTTTTTGCAGCCTCGTGGGCAAAATGCCCCCTTGGTCTTATGGCCAGTCCGACCCTGGTTTACGAGCTATTTTCGCTATATATAAATTGGATGTTAATCCCTTAGAAATTCACTCTGCAGTTCTATCAAACTCTATAAGCTTTAAATTAAAAATTGCAATGATGTAATAGAATTCAAATTTAAATATTCTGAAACAATTTTGAAATTAGGATCAAGTAGTGTCGCTAATATCTAATGTTCAATATATTTTAATAAATTTTTATTAATAAAAATATTCAACTAATATCTAATATTCAAAATATTTTAATAAATTTTTATTAATATAAATAAAAATTATTATATAAAATTAATTATATACAGTTTGGTAATTAATAACTTATGGGCCATGCTTCTTATGCATATTTTGTTTTGTACAAATAGATTCATTAATTTGTACATTATTTTATTGTGAAATAATAACTAAATTAATTTTCAATCACTTTTGATAGAAAAATTCTACAGATTTTCTGGATCGATTTAGCAATACATAGTTCGTCAACACCACTCTTTATTTAAAAAGTTTTAATCAACATTAGATAAGAGTTGTTTCATATTTAATTGTATATAGGGTGAATTAAAACGTGTAGTTCCATTCAAATAAAGATAAGAATAGTAATATACATTATGTTTATGTACTGATTGAAATATAATTATATACCAATACAATTCATATTTTAATATTCCAATTTAAAAAAATAATAATTTAATATATTAATTAATTAAATAGCATTTTAAAAATTTTAACCGCCATAAAATTTTTATAACAATAGTATAGAAAAGGGGGAGTCAAATTTAACATTTTTGAAAAATTATTTAAAAAATTTTGGCGAGGGGACTTAACCCCTCCTCAAAATTTAAAAGGGGGCCCTGGAAAATATACCCAATGATTTTCTGATAAGGTATCAAGTTCTTAGCGTTAGTCACATAGATCAACTTTCTAACCCTTTCCAATATAGATAGGATTATATTGAGGATATTGAGAGGGCCAAGCTAATTTCATCTTTATTTTAGCCGTTCTGACTACATTGCCCATTTTCGGAACCTAAGACCTAAGCTTTATCTAAAATTTGGCTAGTTTAAGTTTTCTACTTCCGTCAACTAGTCATTTGGATCCTTAAATTAAATTTTGTCTCGTTAATTTTTGATTTGAAGACTTATTTGTATTCCTCCACATCATGGCCAAGATCTTTCTTTATATTTTTTTATTCCAAATTTATGATGTAATAAATTGACTTACTTTTTTTATTAAAAAAATCACAAAGGAAAAGTAATTATTCCAATTAGGCATAAGATTTTTGCTATCAAAATGGTATTTACACCATTAAAATTTGTTGGAAACATTTTGTAAAACTATTAAGTATGAACTACTAAGAAAAAATATTTAGATGTTTTTTTGTATACAAATAAAATAGTTTTTATGCTTCATTTTTCATGTATTAATTGGCCATAAAATATTTTTTAAGGCGCATTACTTTTAGATAAGATTATACAATATAAAAAAAATTTGAGTATTTTATTCATTTTTTACTTTCAGTCACTTTCATGATATTTTTATTTGTGAATCTTTTGTGGGAATTATATAAGATGATTTTTGTCCGGAATCAATATATAAATTTTATATGCACCAATTCCATTTAAAAATTTAATTTTTTATTAATAACCAATAAACATATAGTTTGTAAACAATTACCCATTCGTTTTTACTAAATTTCAAGACATTTTTTTCATATCATATCGCCTCGCTTATTACAAAATAAATTGCATGTTAATATATTTTTATATTATAATCATATTATAATGATCTTGAGCAGTCAATAATTTAGATTTTAAATGACCTATCAGTAGTGCTGTAAACATTTCTAAAAAAATCGAACGCGTTCACGTTCATAAAACCGTTCAATATTTTTTGATAATTTTTTTTAAAATTTAATTTAATATAAAATATTTTAGCCATGTTAAAAAATAATATAGTTTTATTTTGATAAAATAATTATAAATAAAATATAATAATATAATATAGCGAATAAAAAGATATTTTTATTTAAAAAATTTTTTATTATTAAATTTTAATAACAACTGTTTTCAAAGCATTTTTTTCAATAACGCTATAAGTTTATTTTTAATATGTTCGTTCTGTGGAAGTTTATCCATTTCCATGGCCATTGAAGCTTGAATGCTGGATGTATAATTGCAGAAAGAACATATTGATCCTTATATATATGTTCAAATCTTTAAAAAAAATAAAATATATGTAATAATTGAGAGTGATAGGTTTAAAACCTTTTATTAATCCCATTTAATACGGCGTCTATCAATGGTTGACCATATTTGAGGCCACTAATATTTTTAATTTTAAAATAACTATCGCTATTGTTGGGGTCAAATATCCCAAATGCATTATTTCTTCAAATTTAATGATTTAACTTAGTTATATCATATAAAATCAAATAATTAATATTATAATCAAATGTCGTTTTAAATTGGAACCTGAAGATTTTGACAATATAATACTTTTTGGCCACATTTTACACTTGGTAAGCATTGGATTAGTTCCTTCAATATAGGATGTTAATGTAAAACATTTATCATATTTGGCCATAGTAATGATGATTCATCTGATTTTGGATTTTCAGAATCAGATGATGAGGATTAAATAATAATATCCATGCTTATGCTAATCTATTAAATTAAAATATAAACAATAATATTCAAATTAATAAACTATGTGTTAAAAAAATTGATGTGAAAAGGAAATACACAGCCGATTAAAAAATATAAATAATACATTTTAAAAAAATATTCGGAAATATTAAATTTTTCAAATAAATAAAAAAATATTTTTAAAATTGAACGAACGTTAAATTCGCGCGCGTTCGTCATAAAAAAGGAACGCGTTCACGTTCAAAGTTCGTGAAAAATTAAAGGAACGCCGTTCATCATTTTTTTCAAAAAAACGAACTTCGTTCACGAACGTCTTCATTTTGAACGCATTCGTTTACAACACTATCAGTTATTTCTCCACATAGTTTGTCAACACTCACAAAAAAAATATTTACTCTTTTATTTTATAGTTATTATAATTTCGATTCAAATCATAGAAAACTTTAAATGCCAAGACGAAAAGCTGAAAAAACAAATCAAAGAAAACCCGCATGTCTATCATATTCCGCGATCTGGAAAAATGTCTAATATGCTTTCACGTGATAAATCATTGATAGAGGTACTTATGTTAACATAGAAAATTTACTCATCCTATTAACCGTGGCCCCTATATACCCCCCCCCCTGGAAAATAACCACCCCCCCCCCCCTTTAAAAAACAGTTAATTATTTTTTGACACCCTTTCGGCAGTACATGAGGTAGTATGAATAGAATAAATATTTATATAAAATTGATAAATTAAGGAACAGAAAGATTTTAAAGTAAAGAATAAGGTAAAATAAACAAATATATGTCTCAGAATCATCATCAGAAAAAAAAGACAAATAATGTATTAATATAATTATTTTAATAAAATAAATTTACAATTCTCAGAATCTGAAAAATCTTTATCTTTAACCTCCAGGTAATGTGTAATAATTCTTTTTAGCCATAATATAAATATTTTGAAGCATGGACATTTTATGAAAATTTGACTTAAATTTAAATGTTAAAATTCAGATATTCTCAATATCATCCTTATGAATGTCTTTTCCGCAATTCCCTTTGGTGTAAAAAATGATATTTGATTTAGTTTTTTTTATCCATCATTGAATCTTTCATGAAACTACTTAATGATCAAAACAAGTGCAACATAAACTGGTTTTATAGCTAAAATAAAATATTATATTTAATAGGAATGTACCGATATTTATATCGGATCGGATCGAGCCGATATATCACCATTTGAAAATATCGGGTATCATATTATGAAATTTTCCGATCCGATCTGATAAAAAATGACGTTTTTAACAAAAATAAAATATAAAATTTTTAAAAAAAGTTATATGTCTAAAAAACCATTTATTTTTATAAATAAAATTGAAATTCATTTTTATGTTTTATTTTTTAATAATAATAATTAATTAATTAACATTCTGCCATATTGTTATTTTTTACAAAAATAAAATATTATAAAAAGTTATATATCTAAAAAACCATTTATTTTTATAAATAAAATTGAAATTCATTTTTATGTTTTATTTTTTAATAATAATAATTAATTAATTAACATTCTGCCATATTGTTATTTTTTTGCATATTCTGTTTATAAAAGTGTACAATATATTACTTATTATGTAAATAGATTATTGTTATATTACTTATTATATAAATAAGTGATTTAAATAAAAATATTTTATATCCAGAATTGCAATTGAATTGAATATAAACTATAACTGATCATTATAATATATTTAAATGACATATGTTATGGTATAGTTAAATTATAGATGTTATACTAATAAAAAGTATATTAAAAATTAAAACCATTGGTATCTTTACAGGATACAAAATTAAAATAATATCGGGTTGGTAATCGGCCGATATCTATTGAATATCGGATCGGCCTCTAAAAAGTGGTATCGGTACACCTTTAATATTTAATAATTCAAGTATATACAACTCTCCTTTTTAATGTGTGATGTTTGAAGTTTAGAACTTTCAAGATCAAAAGGCAGATTTCTCCCCTTCATAAATCTTGTGCCATTGAAAAAACATTCACAAATTTAGTGTTATTATCTATTAAGTTTAATAATTAATACAAGACAATCATTTAAATTATACTTCTCAAATTAATCAGTTCTCATTTGCCAATTGAATTTGATATTGCAATTCCTACATCCTTCGAAATGGTTTACAATTTTGTATAGGCCAATCTTGTTACAACAATATTTTATTCAAAACACAAAAAGTGATAAATAAAATAAAAACTTTCTTCAAAAAGAAATAGCACTAGCTATGGTAAGTGGCAGAATCTTCAGAATCCTTTAAATTTGTCAAAACTGCCCTCAAGAAGTAGAAAACATTTTAATAGCTTTATATGATAATAGCCAGCTTCTTGATGCATAAAAATCGTTGCGATTTTGTCAGTACATCACTCTGACATGCTTTGAGCACTGCATATCTTTTAACAATATTAAAATACACTTAAATCTCGTCTAAGATCCCTAAAACATTTCTTAGTTCTTTTGACATAATTGAAGAATGATTAGATCTAATCGATGACAATAGCATCAAATAAAAGTTGCATTTGAGATCTCAATTCTAATTAAAGCCTGTACTTCTCTAATTCTTCCAGTTTGAAGCACCATCATAGATTTGCCCAACTAAGAATTCTATAGGGTAGATTCATGATAAGTTTGCATATTATATTTTTTTAATATCAAAACCTGTCGTATCATTTCAATATATCCTACTAACAAAGCTATTGCTTCTGACTACATCATATGTACACAATCAACTATAATTGAAAAACATCTGTTAAATTTATTCTCTTTTTTAATTTTTTTTATAACTATATTTTTCAAGGTTTTATTTTAATGGAAATATTTATATTTTACGACAATATATTAGAATATAATTTGGATTGAGGACAGGTTCCGAATCTGCAATTAGTTTAATAACGTCTTTAAAAGCTACTATTTCAAAGCTTTTCTTTATATCTTTAAAATTTAAGCCTCCATGTCTTTTTCTAATATGGTCTGTTTATTTACCATCTCTTATATTATGCTAAGCATTTGTACTTTTTTGGTTTAAATTTTTTGGCATATTTTGAAATTGGAAAATTTTATAAAACAAGAAATCTTTTTATTATCGATGGGTGTGGTAAAACAAAAATAAAATAAAAAAAATTTTTATTTTAAAAGTATACACCCATTCAAATTTTAAGAAACAGTTACTTCACCCATTGTAGGGGCCACTGCCTATTAATCACTATGATTTATTACTATTTAAAAACATTTTTAGTCAAAGACACTTCTATCCATTAATCATTACTACAGAACATTAAATCCAGTACTTGTCTTTAGATAACATTTCTAACTTTGTTCTATAAATTAAGATAATTATAATGTATATTTTTATTTATATGTTGTTATTTTATTATTTAACATTTCCAAAAATTTTTTTAAATAGAACGTGCTATTGCATGAAGTCTCACCTAATATCAGAGCTCTAATACAGAATTCCATTCTAAATTGCTCCTCAAAAACGATCAAAATAGCAAACCCTTTATTAAAAGAGTTGTACAAAGAAATTTTGATACATTTGAACCATTGGAAAGGCATTAATGCTAACATTCCCAACCTAGTATCTCAGTTAGATATTTTGAACGAAATAAAAAATGTATGGTGTCCTGGCCATGATTTAAAGAAAAAAGATATATCTCCTGTGAGCGTTAGTCAAAGACCGATCATATTGTTAGGGGGCGAAGGGTGTGGCAAGAGTAGCTTTGTTACACAATTACTTACAAATATTCATCAATGGTTTCCTAGGGATAAAAACAAGAGTAGTTCCATAATCCTAAGATACGTAGGATTGACACCTAAAACTCTTAATGTTTCCCAGTTACTACGTAATTTGTGTCTCCAAATATACTTTGTATTGAACCAAGAGAAACCAGAGAAGATTAAATTGGCCTCATTAGATACTTACAATTTGATTAATTTAATAGCTGAGTTTAATAACTTACTTAAAATGTTTGCTGACCCGCTGTATCTCCAGAGACGTCACCTATTTTTAATAATTGAAGATTTTCATCACGTTTACAAGCCAAGTTGGACTACATCTGGTTTAAATATTCTTTTTGGAAAAGATAGTATTGGTCATATATTTCTTCCAGACCCTCTTCCACCCAATGTTCACATAGTGTTTACCCTTAACACTAACAAGTTTATTATAGAATCAACGTCCTTAATATCATCTTCAAAATCTACTACTCAAACTCCCAATACCAATCAGGTGGCTCTAGGATTGATAATTGATGATCTGAAAGCTCAGTTTGGGTCCAACTCCTACATAATTTCGCTTGATCAAGCTAACTTTAATATTGGAAAAGCAATCGACTCTAATACCTCCATCAGAAACCCCATAGCCTTACAGGAAATATTTTTGAGCTGCTATAAACAGGCTAAAGTGACTCAAGAACCTAGATGGATGCAGCACTCGCTGAAACAACAACATCAAATGACAATGACGCTGCCTAATCATCAAAAAAATCTAGTTAATCAAGCCTTGCTCAATGGTAAATTACCTTTGTACGCTTTTTTAGTGGCCGTGTTGATAAAGGATTGGCCTTCTGAGTTTAAACCAATACCCAACAGCATTCCAAACAACATAGTATTAGTATTGAAATGCATTATGGAGGACATAGAAATCAATAGTGATCGACTTACACTTTCCCATGTGTTGAAGTTAAAGAAAATTTTGTATAATTTTATTTTATAGTTATTATGATCTAAAAACACGAATAAGAGGTTCTAAGAAAATATTTATCTTCTTTTTAAATTATGAGTTATTCATAACATTAAGACCTTAATATTAAAATCTCATGATCTCATTAGAGTCCCCCTGAAATTATATGTACTATTGAGTGACTTCCTTTACAGATGGTCATAAATAAACTATTTGATTATTAAAAGTAATTAATCATGAAAGTTTTACAAAAGCATTTATTTTGTATAAAATATATAATAAAACTGTATTCAATTCTTGTTTCGGTTTAGTAACTGAAGTTCTTATATATATACTATAAATAATATTTTTATGATTTCATTTTTTTATAGATATATTTCATCCGCTCATCTAGGTATAACAGAAGTCGAATTACTAGATCTCTTGTCATCCAACAAACCTTTAATGGAGATCTTTTACGGGAATGCGCTGAATATAAATAATAGATTCCCTTATTTTATTTGGGCTAATATCAAAAGACGTTTAGGTATATAAATGGTTCTACATTCAAATACACACATTATTATTAGTTTATTTGATTAAAATTTTGGTTTTTTATAACTATTGTTCCCAGAGTGGGGTAGTTATGGGGGGCTGGGGAGGTCAACATGTCTAAATTTAATTTGAAAGCACCTAATTTTTTTATTAGAGAAAAGTAAATTGTTGAGCATGCCTAAACTAAAAATTTTAAATGATAAGATGTAGAAGCGCCACTTAATACTATAAATCATTTTGAAAAAATTTATCCTTATAAACTAAATGGATTATCAAATTTCTTTAAAATATTTAAATATAGAAGTTTTATCTCATTAGCGAAAATAATTGTCATTTAATTTTATTTTTTATTCCTACAAATATAGCGCTATTATTTAGCAAAAAGGTCATAGACGGAAAAATTTTATTTTTTTGGAACCATAAAATCATATGTGATATCACCAAAATTTATTCTTTTCAGCGGCCAGTAGAAAAGGTATTCACAATATTTTTAAATATATTGAACAGCTCTGGGAAATTAATATTTTCAATCATTTTTTTTAAGTCAGGGTTGACATGTCGGTGAATTGAACGGTCTCGGTCAATTTACTGGAGGAGTATTTGACCGGTCAAATACAGTCAAATACTCTAAAATATCATTGGCGTATAAATATATTGATATAATTAATTAGTATGCATTAAAAGCATGTTAATCAATCTTATTAGGTTACAATTTATATAAAAATATATTTGTATCATGAAGGAATCGTTTTAATTCTAATTTTATATTAAAATTTAAAAAATTATATAATAAAAAAACAAAAGAATTTTATTTATTACTAAAATAAATAAATATGATAATTTAGATTAGTGATGGTTTATTTAATAAATTTAAATTTTATTTAATATTTAGCCGAGTATAAATTATATTAATTCTCATTAATTTTACTTCCACTTGCTACATTTGAATTTATAATTAATTTTCTTTTTAGTTGTTCTGGTCAGATATACAAAATAATTTATTCAATTCTGGTAAAAAGTTTTATATTATATTATATTTTATATAATATTAAACCAAATTATTGAAATAATTGGTTGATGATTATAAGATAATTAAGATTGATTAACTTTACAATAATCAAAATCTTTTATAGTTAAATCTTAATATATTAGGGAAGGATTATGGTCAAACCAAAGCATCAAGTTTGAATATTTTTAAGAAGTACGCGATGGTAAATCAGTTAATGCGATATGCAGGTTTTGCAAGATGTCTTATATTACCCACGTTGATAGAATGGTCAAACTTTTATTAAGCAGTTGTACTATGTGATGTGCTCTCTCATAATTAAGGAATAATTTTATTCAAATTTCAAAATATCAATCTCTACAAAAATTCAGACAATGTAATTTGTAACTTCTAACATAACCGGTTTCTTAGATAGAATGAATCCCAAAGAAAAAAATGAGCTCGATCAATTTTTTGCAAAGGCTGTATATACGAGCAATTTACCTTTTTACATCACTGAAAATCCCTACATCCAAGGATTTTTAAAAAATATATGTCCTATTTACACTTTACCCAGGCGAAAGCAGCTGGCTGGATTTCTTCTAGGCAAAGCGTCAGGAGATATGGAGGTGAGAGTTGCAGATATAATAGATAACGCTCCTCACTTATCAATTGTATCAGATAGAAACGAGAGTATTATTAATTTTAGTTCCAGTTTTCTACAAATTTTTAAATACTGAGGAAAATCGCATACGGCAGATTATATTGCCCGGCAATTTAAAAATGTAATTCATGAATTGAATCCGGTGAAAGTATATTCTTTAGTTACTGATATTTCCGCTAGCATGAAAGCAGCCTGGAGAATTCTAAAATCTGAATCTTATACACAATGTTATGGTTGTGCAGCCCATACATTGTAGTTATTCTTTCACGATTTTGAACGATTGAATGACTTCGGTTACCATGTTCCAATAATTAAAAAAATTGTTAAATTTTTCAAGAATAACACAAACCAGCTGCAGTATTTTCCTGTAATTAGAATAAACACATATCAGCTGCAGTATTTTTCCGTAATAAGAATCAACATGGTATACCATCTACATTAAATACAATTAGCCAAACAAGATGGGCATCGTCAATAAAATGTATGGAGCAAATACAAATGCAAGACAGCGCTAAAAGCATCAGTTGTTGAAGAAGCTGTATGTGATATTTGTCCCATATAAATAATGAAGAAATATTTTGGATGAAAATTTTAAATTTTAGCAATATTCCAACCTTTAGCTACCTCATTGTTGAAAGTGTAAAGGGATAAATATATGGCCCACGTAAAAAACGAAATTCTTAATTTGAAAAAGCACATAATACAATCAGGCCATGATTATATATTTTCTCCATCTGAATAAAAAAAAAAAATTATGTTTGAAAAGAGAAAAAATGATTTAAATACATATGCTCACAATACTGCTTATTTATTGGATATCCAATATCAAGGAGAGCATCTTAATAGTACTGAATTTGATGAAGCATGTGATATAATTTATTTTACAAGGTGGTGATAATCAAAGTATTTTAAGTGATATAATAAATTTCAGAAGTAAAAGTGGCATATTTAATAGCCAAAATATGTGGAAAGTGGTAACTTCTTCAGCCTCAAGTTGGTGGAATGCACTTTACCCACCTTGCCCATTAAGAGAAGTAGCTAATATTTTACATTTCTTAGTTAAACTTCTTATTCATAAAAAAATTGGTGGGTTTGGGGCAATATTCATACGAAAAACAGAAATCGATTGAAGGCTTCTACAACATGAAAATTGGTAAGAGTATATCATGACTTAAGATTGATTAAAAATATTAAAGAAAATAATGATATTGAATATGAATCGGAACAAGACTTTGCCACGGAGGACGAAACATTAACTAGAATTAAAAAAATATTATCAAATTTTATATTACATAGATTCAATATAATGTTATATACAAAATAAAGTTAATATTGGCGTAAAAACATTTATTTGAATTTGACCGTATTTCACCATATTTGACCGGTGAAATATCGATCAATTGACCGAATCGTATTTGAGTGGTCAAATGCACAACCCTGGTTTAAGTACAATTTTCTTTGGGTAATATAATAATATGTCTCATTTTCCTAGAATTTTATAATGCTAGTAAAATATAATACAGTAAATTCACGTAATCAGCCAATGCTGGTAGTAAATGGCAAATCTGGCAACACGCTTATTGATTAATTTATTTTGTCAATAAGATAACTGAAAATAAAAGTATCAAAGCTACAGCCAGAGATATCGAATTTCATATTTTAAAAACGGTAAAAAGTTGATTTTTTTATAATCTTTGATAGTAATTTTTTATATATCTCGTTTATTCCTATTTTTATTATAATTGCTTTTAGTGTTTTATATTTGTTTTGCTAGTAACTTTGTTTATTTATACTGATACTGTTTACCAAATGAATTGAAGAATTAAACTTAAATGTATACTAGTGGAGCATTACATATTGGCTTAAGCTTTAGCATTATTTCCTACAACAGTTTGGCAACCCATGCTTGAGGTTGAACATAATATGAAATTCGAATTCATATTAAATTTTAAAATATAATTATCCAAAATATAAAGAGAGATGAGATCTTAACTATTTCATTTTAATATCTGTTAAATCCACTGAAAAGAACTAAATTTATATCTATAAAAATCGTAGAATCACAAGATTCAAAAATATTTAAATCGGGAAAAAGGAACCCTAATTCATTTAGAGTTGATTGATTTTTGAATCGAAATTGAAAATTCAATATTTAAGACTCAACCTAAGGCCGTCATCATCGTTTTTATTTAGTTTTACCTATTTTCTGTTAATTTTTGGGAAAACTGTTTGATGAATTAATAAGTACTAATCAGGCCCTATATATTGGTGCACCCAGATTTTCAGTGCTTCTATAATTTTCCTTTTAACAAGATGCCGATCTTGACATTTTTTATTATTACCAGTTTTTCTTTAAACGAGATATCAAACCGGTTAAAGCACTAAAGTATGCTAAATATGTCTTTTATTGATATAAGTTTCAGAGTTGATGCGTCTAGAAGTTTAGCTGATTTCACACCTAAGACATGATATCTCTGGTTTACATTACTATTCAGTTTCATTGCTGTGGTTGTCGACATAGATTGAAAAATTTTAAATATTAAGGTAAACCAGATATTTAGAAATTTTATACTCTCCATTCGGTATAAGTTTCAGAATTGAATGTGTTTCCAAGCTTGGCTCATTTCACGCTTAAAGCTTATATCATAGTTTTCATTTTGTTTATAACTCCGTTTCTTTTTTATGGTTCCCAAAAATAATTGAGGAATTAATAAGTACTTGTCAAGTACGAAATATTAACACAACACATATATATAGTCTCATATTCTCCATTCTGGCATGAATATTAATTTTGGAAATTTGTTCTTTTATATACCAAAGGTATTAAAATAATATACATAAGTAAACACTAAACATTAATAAAATTTTCAGATCAACCAACTTTAAGTGAGATGATCTAAAACTATTATATATTTAAAAATCAATAACCATATGAAAATCAAAAATTTCTAATCAGGATGTTTTTAGAGGTGTGACCTAGCTGAAAGACGAGAAGTTTAAGGACTTCGCCCCCAAAATATTTTTTGTACTCCTTTCCTTCTTTGAATAAATCCTAGCTATACCATTGTTCTAACGTTTGTATTTCTTTTTATATTTTCAATTACTGGAATCACGGTAAAGAGGAATAAGTTTCCGATTATAATCGTATGTAATATATACTTCAATTTTCATTAACTGTCTATTCTCATAAATATCCAAATTACAAATATAATTTTTAAATTGCTTTCATAAGTTAGGCGTACTAGAAGCAATGCAATGCCCTTGACAAAAGTGACACTTCTAAATTATTAATAAAGGAGAGTATACTGGCAAATTTTTTTGTCATAACAAAATTATTTTTATGGGGCTTTTGCTGTTCTCAAACTACATATTTCCCCCATTCGTTTGATTTTATTAATTCAAATTCATTCGCTGTTGTATAAATTTCAAGTTGTTTCTAAAAATGGCAGATGTAAGTATCTTATTAAGAAGTAACAAAAAGATACAACTAATGAGATACTTATTTCTTTTCCTCAATAGGAGTATCATAGATACAATATACTTTTTATGAAAAAAATTATCTATTCCTTCTGCACATTAAGCTATGAAGTCTACAATATAATCTCGAGGTTCACAAAAAATTAATATCATCGCTTCCCCACCCAAATGCTATAAAGAATTGAGTGTGATCAACAATAAGAATAGAAATGTAGACATATATAAACCAACCAACAGAATTATTTGGAGAAAAACAATATGAATATTGATTGTTCCAACTAAGAATTAATTCTGAAATTATGACATCAAATTCTGTAGTTTATTCCTCCAGGAATTTTTCATATCTTTTAGAAATTTTTAAAATTAGCTAAAACACAAACAGACACATGATATTTGGACTACTATAATAAAATATTCATATGATATCATTTATATAATTATAATTAAAAACCATACGATAAATGTTGGCATGTCAAAATATAGAATAATAATGAATATTTATTTTATAATATAAAGATGGAAAAGAATAAATGATGCAAGAATCAATGAAAAAGTATTAATATTGAATTTTTAACATAAAAATATTAAAAAACGTATCGGTATCTCTATCATTAGCAAAAGAACCATAATTTAGATAAAACATAAGATTATCAAATACAACGGAAAATATAAAATTGATGTAATTATTTCGAATTATATTAATTGTCAAGAAAATAAAAGAAGATACGAGAATAATTTGAAAATAAAGTAATTTCAATATAAGTATCTTATTAAATATGTCAGAAAGATACAAAGTTTACGAAAAGATCTTGTACTTAGATACAAGTATTCGCGGTACTGCAGCTATAATAATGAAGAGAATGACAATGTATACCTTAAATATTATTAATGCGTCTTTTGTGTGCTCTACAGCCCACGGTTTCCTCTTCGCTAGCTAAATTGCATAAACTATAAAATCCATAAAAATATTTTATTTGCATAAAAATTATTTCAGGGGTTGCTAGAATCAAAGTGATAATAGATAAATGCAAATAAGGGGGTGAATGATTAAAATGAGATTTTTTTAAAAAATAATGAATCCATCAATCCATGTAAAGCCTGAGTGAATTGACTGTAGTATTATATATAAATATACTTTAATAGTATAAAAAGTCAAGTATATTTATATATTTTAGTTATTTAAATAAATAAAATTAATAATGATCGCTTATATTAATTAACAATTGAAGGGATATTTTTTTTTAAAGAATAGTCATTGTCATGGTTTGCAAACTATCGACAATTGTAGATTATTTTGTAAGAATACATCATTATTTTATTTTTTTTAAAAACATATTAAGACACAAGTCCATTGTGATATGGCTAATCTATTTTTAGAGACCATTTATTTGTCTAAAGAGACTAGCACATCTACTATTTTACCTTCCACAACCATTCCTTTGAATTTTCGGGAAATTACCTCCCAGCCATTGCTTTATAATGAGTATCAATACAATATGAGGCGCATTTACGAATTATGGTTCCATTTATTGTATACAGGTTTGAGTTATGTAATATATTTCTACATTGTTATATGGTCATCTTGAAGGGATTCTCTCCTTTTATGGCTTTTATTTCTTATATATATATTTATATCAATATTATTTTAACCATAATAATAATCTTCATGATTCGTGAATAATTAATTTATATAAAATAGTCAGTTAGTCTAAAAGGTGGGGGAGACCGATATGCGATTAACAGGTAACAATGAGGATTTTTATATCTAATTTCTTACTTATGTTCATCTTTTGGAAAACTTTCCTGTTTTGATATATTTTGCCAAAAAACGGGTTTTTATCCCAAAATTGTAAAAATCACTCTTTAGTTGCTTTTAACAAAATATATTAAAGCTCATAATTTAAAAATTTGCTTACATATCCCTTAAAGTCATTCATATCTATAAAATAAAATTTATCAGAAGTTTATAACTTAACTAATAGTGTAATGACAATTTGTATATTATAGTAAAACCGGTAAAATGTTCCATCTGATTAAAGCTGTAAAAAGAGAATTTTTAAATAATAACGTCTACACCATATAAAAAAGATATTTTTGGGCAAAAACAATAATAAATATTGTATTATTTGGAATAAAATTTTTAAATTAGTCACAAAATATAAGAATAATTGAAATAAATGTACAATGTGCTTAAGATGGGCATACTCTTGCTATTTTTGATAAAAAAAATTGCATTTCCTTATTCTATTGATTAGTTTATTTAGAAGTGATGTAAAGGTTCTATAAAATTATGTTCAGTTTTATTTTAACCACTTAACCCTGATGCTCAGCCATTCTGCCCTGGGTATGGGGTAAAATTGTGAGAATGGCACACTTTGCATAATTAATCATAGCTTTTAAAATATTATGGATAGAGAGCTATACTTTTTTATTTTGTAGATGAGGGATGTGGCTACATACAAATTTATCATTTGTTCTGTTTTGTTTTTGTTTCATAATTTTATAGTAAAAATGCAAAATACCATTCGTTTTACCCTATTCTTCCCTACCTTTATTACGGTGGAGGGGGGGGGGGTATGACACAATATCACCCTTAGGAAGCTGTAAAGAAGTCGTTAGAATAATGTGGGGGGTAAAGGAATGTAATGGGTAGAGGGTATTATTTATTTCATTTTTGCAAATTTGGATCCCCTTTTTTATGTGGAGGTGTAAAGGAAAGAAGTAAGACCATCAATATAGAAAAAAAATAATTCATAATAAAATATGAATATATATGTCATGGGGTTTACTTGGAATTTCGTGTTAACCCCCCATTGCACTGGGGCATAATGAAATTCCAATATGAATTTATATAAAATAAAATCTTTTTTTAAAATGGAATTTCATTTTACAATAGGTTAAATAAATCTCAATTTTATTTCTTTTCTATTATTTTTTTCAACATTTTTAGACTTGGTCTTTGATCTTATTGATTTGATCTTCATTTCTGATCATTTAATTTATCTTAACCAACTAAATTAAATTTATGGAATTTTAAGGCATAATCTATAATTTCAAACAAATCTCAAGATCTTTTTAAGTTTGATGAAATTTTTTTAAAAAAGCATATTTATTCAAAAGGAAAATTTGGCGATTTTTTCTATTTTGCTTTTTGCAAAAGTTATAAAAAAAGACTGAAATATTGTATAATCAGGTAAAATCAACGAAGGATTTTATCTATAATTAAATCATTGTATGCCAACAAATGTTTTAATTATATGGATATTTCAAATAAATAAGTGATTTTAATAACGGCGATTCTACAATCGATTTGTTATTTGAACAATCAACTTTTTGAGAATTTATGCAATTGCAACGGAAATGTGATTCAAATCTATATTGTTACGTAGTAAATATAATTGTTCAACAGAATGTCACAAAGGATTTGTCAAAATAAAAAATTATCAATTTTTTAATACATTTTGTTATTATAAGCTTGTATTCGATACGAATAAAATGATTCAACAAAATAAAATAAAAACAGGAATCATTTCTTGAAATGATTGATATACACTTTAGATTAAAATTATAAATTTGGGTTAGTCGGATACATAAACCGTTACGAAATTTGATAAAGCTAATAATAAGAAATGTTATGGTTATTTTGCTCAAATACACAAGCTTCATAAAAAAAATGAGATCTGTGTTTAAATATTTAACAAATTTGATTAAGTTGGCTAATTTCCTCATTAATAAAATTTGATTAAGGATAAAATTTTCAGAAATTATAGCCAAATTATTGTGCAGAAATGCATAAATTTAATTAAAACAAAATAAAAAATATAAATAAAGGGGGTTAAATGAAGATTTATTTTAATTAAATGAGATTCCATGACACCCTAAATGAAATAGAATTCCATTATAAATTTTATTATACCCTAGCGCAATTCCGGACTACTCTAAATTTCACTATTCCCTACGATATTATATCCCTCGCTTTATTTAAATATGGCGTATTTTGTAATTATTCATATCTGTAATACAACCATATATATCAATTCAAGAAATATAATAGTAGATGATCTTATATTTATTCTTTCTGTAATTCTTTTTTTTTAAAAAAATGTCGGAAAAATTTAGGTATAAGTTTAGGCAAACTAAAAAATTTTAACGGGGCCATAAAAAATGAAAAGATCCTCCAAAAGAGCACGTAGTTATGGAACTACTAATTTTGCTCTTTTTTTAAATAATTTGTGCTACATCTGTACAACGTATTATAATTACATATTTGAATTTAATATGATGTCTATTGAACTCAATTATACATTTCCATTAAATCTAACTCAAAATTTTATAAAATAGAAAATATTTATATTATTAATTTTATCAAATAATTATTAGGTGATATAAAATTACTAAAATTTCACGCCTTATGCAATTTCGATTATCTTATGTCCGTAGTTCACGGGGCTACGTTGGGATATTTGTTTCACGTATTAGACAAGACTTTACAAAGATTCCTGGATTATGAAATCCAAACTCTCTGTTCTACTTTAGTAAAATCTGTCGATATTTTGAGCAAAGATCATTTGCAGATAGCTTGCGAAATCATAGGATGCCTAAGAAACGTTGATGGTAATCGCCAAAATACGATATTTATTTTTATAAACAATTTAGGAAAAATTCTTTATATTCTTTTATTAATTTATATACTGGATGTGAGCTGGTTTAATTCAATTTATCATTATAAATATCAAATTATAAAATAAGCTTAAAATTTACTTGATTTATAACTTTATTACACCATTATAAAGAGTCTTAAAATGTCGGATTATAGGTCCTAGACAAATATATTTTAGTAAATATTTATCACTCTGTCTACATTTAATTATTATCTATGAAGTTTCATCTCTGCTACTTATAATTTTATCCAATCTCATAGGATTTCTCATCCTAAGCTTATCATTCTTTTCATGAAAAATTTAATTTAGATAATATATCCCCATACCTCGATAATTTGGTCATTCAAGCGATGGAATGGTGTGATTCCTACACTCTACCATTATTAGTTCCCTTATCCTCTTGGTTAGCTATATCCACCCCAGACCTATATGACGCCTTTACTTGTTCTGATACGACAGGTGGGTTGTCTATATTAGCGCCAAGCAGCCAACATATATTAATGACAACTAAGTTTAACCAAGTCCATATGTATCATCTTGGATCTCATGAGTTTATCAGACCCTTCAAAGGTAATACACATTATAAGGTCATGCACATTTTACTGATAACGTTACTTCAAATAGATAACATTGTAATTGATTAAATACTTAAGTGATTAACCAAAGGTTCAATATATTAATATATCTATCCTTTAAAACTCAATTCTAATTGTAGACAATGTTCTCTTTTAATTATTATTTCTCATTTTATCGAGTCATACGATGCCTAGAATGCATATTTATAATTATTTACTTGACTTGTAATTTATCCTATGTGGTATGTTTTTATATAATTAAGTTACAGTATTTACAATCTTTAAACATTTTTTATTTAAAATATATAATTAATGTGGGTATTATAGGTCTCAATGGTACAATTACTGCATTGGTAATAGCTTATAATAGTAGCTTCGTAGCATGCGCGACTAGTGGTGACTTGAATATAAATTTTTGGAAAATTGAAAAAAATGAAATAAACGGAATCATTAAGTTAGTTTGAAAGATAATCATTTTATAATTATTTGGTAAAAACTTAACTAGTGATAATCTAATCATATCATGTCAATTCTGCAAATCTCGCAAATGCATTATTGCGAAAGATTTCCGCGAAATCATTAGCACAATTTAAAACATTATAGTAAATACACGATTACGTTGAAAGCTCTAACTAAGAAGATCAGCTTAAGAATATTTCACAAAAATATTACAGGTCGGTTCGGACCGACTCATACTGATCTTTAGTTTTATCACCGGCCTTTTAATTAAATTTAAAATTATCAAGATCTATCGGAATCTTATCCTTAAAATCGACATCCATAGTATATGTGCACTTCACGAAAAAGGTTTTGCTGAAATAACATTTAACAAATTTATTTAGGTTGAATCTTAGCTCTTTTTAATTTTTCTCTTAGCCCTAGAGAGTTAACATCTGGGTAAAAAGCTCCCCACATTTTTTTAAAATCTATATAAAAATATATTGGGTAGATATTTCAGCCCGGTTCTTTATGAGTTCTCTTATAATAAACCAAAATGTATACAAAGTTTAATAGATATTTAGGCCTCTCGGTAATAAAAAAACACCCCACGTTAATCCTCAAGTTATATATTTTAATGAAGTCTAAATATAAATTTTACATGGAAAATACATGAAAACCTTCACATGTTAATTCCATGAAATCAGCATTTTGGCATGTAAATTTTTGAAAATGACTTAAATTGCTTAATTAATGGTCTGTACGAGATAAAACATTTTTAAAATTTTATTATAAAATCATACATTTCTAGAATAATATATAAATAAATGTATATAAACAACATTTGTGTAATTTCAGAAGATTTCCAACAAAGTTAAGATTGTATTATGACCCATGAAATAATAAATTCATATATATATTCTATTATACTTTTAAATATCAAATAAAATAAATATTTACAAATAAGGCCACACGATAAAGAAATAACCTGTCTGATATTGTCATTAGACGATAAACTTATATTTTCAGGATCTAATGATTGTAAAATATGCTGGAGTGCCGTGTCAAATTACGAAATTATAAGAACTATTAATGCTCATAGAGGACCCATTAGTGGCTTAGTTATCAACAGCTTTGGAGAGGTCTTGGCTTCGAGTAACAAAAAATAATAACTTTTTTTAAAAAACTTAAATGCATACATTTTCCTATATTCTTAAAAACCTGGATTAAGTCTATTATTAAAAAATGGCTAACAATTCTCACCTAAGCCTCTAGATTTCACTAAAAGAGGGCCAAATCTTTCTTGCACGTTTTGGCCAAATCTTGAAGATTAGGTATGTTAAACCATTTTATATTCCATGTTCACTACCTCTATAAGGCGATTATGAATAAGGCATGCACTAGTTATTTTGTTAAGGTTTATATGAAGAGATATTCCACAATATTCTAAATAAAATCACTTATAAAATTATATGTAAATCTAGGTTCGGAGGATAAAACCGTAAAAGTATGGTTGATCGAAACTGGCAATCTCCTCAACATTATCGAAGATATAACTTACCCGGTCAAAAAGATTATTTTATCTCACGATGATATATATTTAGGGATACTTTGCCAAGAATTTCACGTTCAGTTAAGAGCCTTAACTACTGGAACTTTCCTTTACCGTTTAGACCATAAAATTCCGGTTTCTGGATATTTTATCATTATTAAATATTTTTCTCAAAGCTTATTATAATATATATAAAATTGACCGGTTGTGTGAAAAAACATTTAATCTGATTTTTCTCATAAATTCTATTCTTTTTACCCCAATTAGATGTCATTTAAAAATGATGATATTGAATATACGATATAAAATGAATTTTAAGAAAGATACTTGCGAAAAGTGGAGAGAAGATTAATTAATTATATAACTTTTATTGAGGAAATTATTATCATTTTATTGAATCTATGTCAAATTTTTTTCTCGTTTTAAATAAATTTCCTCCCAAAAAAATATTGTAATATATGTAAATTATATAGTAAAAAATTTGTGCCATAAATAAAATGTGTTCATTTTTTTATATTTTTTTCTTTTATTTTAGATAACGGACATGTGTTTCACCATTGATACTCGTTTCTTAATCCTCGGGTGCAAGGATACCAAGATATATTTGTACAACGTTCACTCTCAGACTCTTAATTATGTCTTAACTGGTCATACGGCATCTATTAGGAATACACTAGTACATGATGGCTCTTTTATAAATAACTAGAAAAGTCTTAAAGAAATTAAATGATCTAGAGCTTTCGTAAAGAAATTTAAATGATCTAGAGCTAAATAATATTATACAATGAGCAAATTTTAAAAAAATTTAAATATATGTTAAGCTGTAGTATTTCAAGATTCGTAGCTTCCAAATTGAAAGGGACGGACTATAAAAGGCGCAGCAAAGTGTCCACGTCAGGTCTAGGGGGTTTGGGGAAAGGTTAGGATCGATGACGATTGTTACTACGTATCGAGGATGGGACCCGTTTGCGCCATTCGATTAGTCAAATCACTTAGAATCTAAATAAATAAATACACCAAAACGACTAATTATCATTACTCTTAATTTAACAACGTTGATATACCGCTTTTACCACTGTTGCAACCCCAAATATAATACTTTAATTTACCTTTTAAGTAAAATAATCATTAGGAACAAACCTAGGATGACGTTCGGTCCCCTTTGATACAAAAAAAGAAATAACTCTTAGATATAATAATTTAAAGGGAGCCAATCTTTGTTAAAGAGTATTTGGGTATAAGGGGCTAAAGTCAAATTTTGTTAAAAAGAAAGGGCACATCTTAAAACAAACATATTGAAATAATTATTAATTTTAATAAATTTCAGCCTTTATATATACAATTTTATATGGCTCACTCAATTACAATAATAAAAAAAATTTATTTTATTTTAAAAAAAGAAGGCTGATTTTTATTTATCCGGTATTTCATTCCATTATTTTTTAAAATATTATAGTACAATAAAAAATTTGTCAGCATTTTATTAATTTTACCAATTATATAAATAATTATATTTTTTCAGATTTTAATAGATTTATCAATAAATTTTTTCGGTATTTTAATTAAAAAGTTTATAATACTAACCACATGATTGTTTATAAAAACTCCTTACATTATTTCGTTCTCAATATAACTTAGTGTAAACATTTGAAGTAGAAAAATATATAATTAATTGCTTGTTTAAATAGGTCACAATGAATAACGATTTTATAGTATCTACTTCACAAGATGGTGTGTTTGTTTGGAATATTAAAAAACCCACGAAACACGACAACATTTTGACTCATAAAGGAATTATAAGCTGTATCAAAATTTCCAAGGATGGCTCTATGGCCATAACAGGTGAAATTCTTATTCGATTTAAAAGAGTATCATTTGAGTTTTAGAAGTTGTTGACCGTATATATAACTCACTCTATAAGCATTAAAAAAAAATAAAGTGTTCAGTTTTAGATATATTTAAAAGTGCACAGAATGTTCAAAGCCAATAAGGTTTGGATTAATTTATAAAATCAATTTATATGACTGATTTTTTTTAGGTTCTGAGGATGGTGGTGTCAAAGTATGGAATCTAGAGTTTAGCGAATTACAAGAAAAGTTACCCGACCACGCGAAATCTGTTACCTGCGTTAACTTTAGCCCTAATAGTACTTATATAGTATCCGGTTCAAGAGATACTACTATTAATATCAAACAATTGAACGAAGCCAGTTCATTTATAAGATTTACGGTTGCTTTATTTACAAATTAATTCAGATATTGTCTTTAAATGCTTACTCAAAAATAATTTATCCGGTTTCTTATCATTATACTTTATTTTGTTCGCTTTTTTTAAATTAATGGTCTCTTAACAATTTTTATATAAGCTGCTAAATAAATTTTCATTTTAAATTTTTTAAAATAATTTTCCAAAAATGATTTTTTTTTCGCATAACTTATATATTTATCAATCACCGATAATTATAATAATAAAACAAGCCGATTAAAAAGTCCGGGACAAAATCAGGCCTAAAAACTTAAAATTATATCAGGCCTGGCAAATTATGCAAGATGTTTTTTGGGCCAGCTGGGATTTTTTAATTTTTAACCTTTATATAATGCGAATTTATGTTACCCTCACAAAAAATTAATTACTGGACATGTTTAAAATAAAATTATTTTGGGCCGGGCCAAAATTTTGAAAATCTTTAAACACCAGTTCGAGCCTAGCTGTGATGATCATTAATTTAAAAATTATAAAAACATCTTGGTGCAAATTTATTTTGTTTTACAATATTTCTATCAGGGGTTCGAATCGAACTGAACCGAACCGCCAAACCGGAATGAACCGTTATGATTTTCTGAACCGTAACCTTAACCGAACCGTTATAAAGAAAATATAAAAAGAGCGAACCGAACCGTTATAAATATTTTGAACCGGTTTAAATAGGTTCAAAACGGTTTTAAAAAATAATTAATTTTAAATTATTAATCTAAATTTTAATTTTCCTTGGGGGAAGTTTATAAATTGGTGATTTCTTTTCAAATTAAATATTTTTATATTATCAACATTATATATCAATTAATATCAAGTTTATTGTTTTTTTCTTTAAATACTTATTTTATTAGAGATTAGGCTAATTATCTGTTAATTAGATAAGATATCTTAAAATCACACATATTATTCTTGGCTAAATTAACAAGTTTATATATATATATAAGTTATTAATAAGCTTTTATAATAATACTTGCTAATAATTTAGGAAAAAATTAAATAAATCTACTATTAATAACTAACATCTAATAGAAATCAAGTACTTTTTACATTCATTTTTATGAGGTTTATTTTTTATCTCATTATAAAAACTTGGATCATTGAATTTAAATGACAATAAATAAAATGGTCAGCAATATTTTAATGATATGATAATTTTTTATTTATAATCATATTGTTTTTTTAAATTCAGAATTCTAATATTCATTTAAGTCATTATAAATTATTTATTATTAAAATAATATTTTTAACATTTGAAGAAAGAGAGATCGCCAGAAAACATCTTTGTAAAACTTGGAACTTAATACAAAGTCTAAATAATCAGAGTATTGAAAATCTAAATACTATGCCTACGTGTTCGCATTTGAAAGATAATTTAGATGATGATTTTGAAGATTTATTAAAGTCGCATAAAAGTCTTAATAAGAATAATTCTCAGGGCATAGAAAATTATAATAAATGTATAGAAATAGAATATATAATTCGGTCATTTGATAATATAGAGAGATTAGAAAAAGATACTAATCTTTTGAATTTTTGGGGAAAATGTAAAGAATAGTATGCCAGAACTTTATAAGTTAGCTATAAATGTGCTAGCAGTTCCAGTTATGCAGGTATCCGTAGAAAGAGCATTTTCTAGCCTAAGTTTATACTCTCTGCGCAGGGAACTAAATTAAATCCTGAAATATTATAAAATATTTTAGTCATCCGTTCTAATTCTCTTTTTAAACATAAATAGTATACCTTTTATTATATTTATGTGTTATTTTATTCATCATTGTATTTACTCATGTTTGTTTTTATCTTATTTATTTATGAAATAAAATAAATTAATCTGTCTAATTTATATTTACTAAGTTTAATAAAAATATCTATTAGATTATCATGGTTAAATTAAATAAGGAATTATAAATTGAAAAGATTTTTCTCTAAAATTAATATATACATGGTTAATGATTAATTTTTTTTTAATCAAATTTATAAAAACCGAAACAAACCGAAATGAACCGTTATAAATTATAAACCGAACCGAACCGATATGAATTTTTTAAAAAAAACCGAAATGGAACAAAACCTTTATGAAATTTTACGCTAAAAACTGGAACAAACCGAACCGTTATGCTTAACGGTTCGAAACCCTGATTTCTATAATTCAAAATTTAGGATAATATTTTAAAAAATTATTCTTTCAAATTATATTGGAAAATATTTTTTTTAAGTAAAGTTATCGTTGAGATTAAAATGAGGGGGGGGGGGGGGGTGTTAATATAATAACCCATAAAACTTTTTTTCAAATATAGGGTCATACTAGCCCCATTACCAATGCGGTCTTCAGTCTAGATGAGAAATCTATAATATCATCGGAATTTAATGATATAGTTAAGGTTTGGCGAGTAGAGACCGGATTTACATTACTCAATTGCAGCGTTCCCTCTCGATTTATGATGGTAACTCCAAACAGCTTATTTGCTATATCTGGAAACAGAACTAATAGGTATATTTATATATAATATAATCAAATCAATTTATATTTGCGTTAATATGACAGTAGGTATTTTATAAACAATCAGGTGAAGGAGATTATAATTCCTTTCGAAGAATGAGAATAGTAAAAAATAGTGCGATCTTAACAGGTGCGTATCACCTCCTCCATCATAAATTTGTCTGTTCTCGTAAATATCATTTTAAGCTAATAAAAATTCCCCCCCCCCGCACACACTCTCCACCCCCTCTCCCTAAAAAATTTATACAATATACCATTATAAGGAAGAATTTGAAAGAAAAGTTAGTTAAGGTTAATAGCATTTTAAAATAACAACTATAATTCAAAATTTTTTTAAGAAGAATTTTAATTTTTTTTAAAAAAAGTGAATACCCAAAATTATTTTTGTAAAAATCTAATATACAGACCTAAAAATCTCCAGTAAAATTTATGGGGAAAAAATTTATCTAATAGTGCCCCCCCCCCTTAGCAAAATCGTGGATACGCCTATGGATTTTAATTATATTAACCTTTTTTTAGAATAAAATTTTATTAGGCCTTTTTGTTATATATTATTATGATTAGCTGATGATAAAAATATATATGAAACATTTTTGATCCTTGAGAGATTTTGCGAGGATTGCTGCATTTCAAAGTATAGAAAAACTTGTAGATATTTTTTTTACGGTATTACAAATGCTAGATTATATTTCTGCTTTCATGCATTTTCATAAAATAATTTTTAAATAGAAACGTTTTATGGAGGCAAAAATGCACAATTTAAGTCTTATTACAAGTTAAATGCATTCTTATTTAACATATTTTTAGATAAATATTTAAATTAAGTACCTAAAACTCAGCCTGGGGTTGGCCCTAAATTGTATATGTTTTAAAATGCAAGTGGGGTTTAAAAATAAATTTTAAACCTGGGCTAGGCCTAAAAAATTTATTTTCACAAAACCTTCAAATAAATTTAAAGTGCACCTATTAACTAGTTGTAAAATCATATGAATGTATCATTTAAATTTCCTTTGTTTCTTTTATTATTTCAATTTCCCTTTTAAACATTTAAACACATCCAAAATTATTTAGAAATGTAGAAATCTGGGTTGGGTGGTAAATAATTAAATGGGTCCTGCGACTTAAAAACGGAAATATTTTAAATCCGGACCGGGTTCAAAATTTGAATTTTACAAGTTTCTGATTAAGTGTTAATTACGTGATACCTGATATTAAGAGCCTAGCCCTATGCATTATATAGATAACGGAGTTATATATACAACAGAGCAACGCTTGGTTCTATCAGAAAAGTCTATCAAACTGTGAAAAAATGAGAAATAATTACGAGAAAGTCCATCCGCGTGTATTGGGCTAAGACTAGACGAGCTTGATATTTAAACTTTTACGGAAAGTAAGAAGATCGAATAAAGCCCGTACCCGATTAAGTAAAGGGTTAATTAGGGATGGGTTTGGATAGGTTAAGTTTATTTAATATTTTTTTTTTATGTTGTGGAAAAACTTGTAGAAATAAACTTGTAAAATAAACATATTTATAATTAAATATATGTTAGAAAAGATCAAACCAATTTAACTAATAATTATTTTTTTGTCTTTCTCTTAAGAAACACAGGATATATAAAGGCATGTTAATATGGGTTTCTTACCATGGTTAAAAAACTTTAGATTATCTATCGTAAATATACATGGGAGATAGACCGTATTGATGCAAATTAGTATATTGCGTACAAAATCAGGAAAAGTAATGTTCAGTTAAGTTGTTTTAGTATCATTGAGAAAAATAATAATACAAGATAATTTATTTTAATTTTATTTTATATTTTATTTTTTTGGACATAAATTGAATAAGTGCGGATTAAAAGTGTTTTATTTGGCTAATCTTAGTAAGGCATTCTTAACTATGCCAAATGTCATGTCAAATATAGATACAATATGTAATTAGCTAAAGTACCGAAAATATGTGGAGCGGATTATATAATCCAGCTAAGTTAAAATAATAACTATATTGGCGGACGACAAATGGAATAGATAGAGGATACGATACCAGTATAAGAAAGAAATTGGCTAATAAATTTAGGGAAAATATTGAATGTAGCGCTTGCAAGATGTATCAATTAAAATATTTATTAAATAATTTTAATATAAAAGCATACCTAGGTCAGATAAACCCAGGTGCGATTATGATATAAGAAAGGACTGCTAAGAAATTTAGGACAAATATTGAAGTAAAGCTGGCGAAATGTATCATTTAAAATATTTATTAAATAAGAATCGTGAAGATTCAAGAATATTTAAATTATAAGCATACCTAAGTCATATAGAACCAGACCCAATGCTAGGCCAAATAGAGATTAAAGGAGAAAATAATGATATTGGTACAAGCTTAGGTTATTACGTTTTAAATAGATTTTTTTATAGTTATTATGAAATATGATATTTATGCCATTTTACTCCATTTTTGATATTCTTTCTTTAAGTTATTTCAAAGCCTGCTTCAAAAATTTCAAAAGTTTTAAAACTTTTTTAGGTTAAACTAGGATATCGAATGATAAAGTTATGTAAATTTCCAAATATGTTTTTGCCATATTTTTATTTTTATTATTTTAAAAAAGGCTTATTATTTCATGTTTTCGGTAATGTTTTGTAAGTTTTTAAATTAAATTTTTTGATATTTTGGACAAGCTTTACAAATTTGTTTATAAATTTTACATTTTAGATTTAAATCTTTAACATTTTTTATGTGAATATGTATAACGAATTTAAGATTGACTCAATAAATGTTAATTATATCAACACTTATTTTGTAAAAAGAAGATAAAGAGCTATAATAGTATACCATACTTTAACCCACCTAACCGTAGAGTTTCTTCCCACCTAATCTCTCGAGGATTGAAAATAAAATTTGATTCCTGTATAAATAAAAATAATTTTAATAAACTATCTTTAATCAGGGCTTCGAACCTAACCGCGAACTCAGAACGAACCATTATAATTTTCTGAACCGTAACTCAACCGTTATAATGAAAATACAAAAAGAGCGAACCGAACTGTTATAAATATTTTAAACCGGCCCGGTTCATTACTGGTTTTTAAAAATAATTAGTTTTAAATTATTAACCTATTTGAAATTTAATTTTCCTTGAAGGCAAGTTAAATTTGCGATTTCTTTTCAAATTACAATTTTTTATACTTAAATCTCCATTATTTTATTGTTTTTACTTTATATATTCAATTCAATAGAGATTAGGCAGATTGCTAGTTAAATAGGTAAGAAATTATCTTCATGGTTAAATTAAATAAGGAATTATAAAAAATTTAATTAAAGATTTTTGATTTTTTTTTAAAATCAAATTTATAAAAACCGGAACGAACAGAAAGGAACCCTTATAAATTCTAAACCGAACCGAGCCAATATGAATTTCAAATAAACTGAAATGGAATATAAAATTTTACGACTAACTGCTATATTTAACGGTTCGAGGCCTTGATCTTTACTGGTTTGCGAGATATCATTTTTTAGCCTTTTTTTATTCTTCTTTTATTATTTAATTTTAAGTATGAAGATATGGAATGTTGAAGATGGATCGTTAGTTAATAGCATAACTCATGGTGCTGAAATTACATGTCTCTCTATAACACCAAATTCTCAGATCTGTGTCACGGGTTCTAAAGATGAATCCTTAAAAGTTTGGGAAGTTAGTACTGGGAAATTGACCCAGGTATTATATACACTTGAAAAAATAATATACCTATTTTTATTTGTCCGCTGTAGTATATATTTAGATCACATGGATTCATGTAATTCTTTATTGCAATCAAATAACCATTTATACAATTTTAAAAATGGAAATAAATTCACAAAAATTCCTTTTTTTTACCCAACCATTATAAATATCTAAAACAAGAATGATATATTTCACGATTCTTCAATAGTTTATTTTTCTCTCCTATTTACGAATTTGAATTGCATTAAGTATAGACTATAAAAAATTTACTGCAGTATAGCTTTTTTATATAATATATTACTTATAACAATTTTTAGTATATAAGAGGCAAATATGCAATAAAAATAAGTTGGGTCAATTTTTAATTTGGAAATTATGGTAACACCCCAAAAATTGAGATCTAATATCTCAAACTGCTCAACTTTTTATTATTGCCCAAAAAAAAATTTACAAAAACTTTAACTATCTTATGATATAAATTATGATAAGTATTATGCAGATTTATTTATTTGAAATTTAGTTTATAAAAAATATAACTTAGTGAACATTAAAGTATTTATGAATACAAGGAAGGATTGAATTTACATGGTTTTTATGCAATTATTGCCATATTAGCAAATGAGAAATTCTGAATTTTTTTATGGTGTTCTCATAATTTCTGGCAACAGGGTTAATATGTTTTAACATGTAAATATAATAATCAAATTAAAATAAAAATATACCTTTTATTAATATAGATCTTTATTCAACTAATATATTAAAATTGCTTCCATAACATAAAATTAAAAAAATATAAAAAATAAAAATATAAAAAATAAAAATATAAAAAATAAAAATATAAAAAATAAAAAGTTAAAAAATGAATAAATATTATTCAAAATATCCCAAATCATCATCATATCATTTTAAATCGCATGATAATAAAAATTATAATATTCAATAATATCTCGCATGATTATATAAAATGAATGAATGCTCTCCATTTCCACTTTATCCTTTCTTATTCGACATGCCATATATATCATCATACATAACATCTCCCCTCTTTATTTAGCCCTATCCTCCTCCCTTGATTCTTCTTCCTTTCCATCATCTCCTATTATCGTTTCCTTGTTTCTCTCCTCCTATTCTCTAAATATTGATTTATCTACAACCCAAATCCTTGATCACTAGTTTCCGGGTTTCAATACTTCCCTATCTAATGTACTCGTACATCAATGCTCTAATTCTTTCGCTCGCACTTCGAATACAATAATTCCATCTGTTCCACCATCACCATCTGTCTTGTCCTCCATCGTTATCATTTCCCTTATACACCATTTACTTCCATATCAATCATCCTTCTTTTTCGTCCTTTAACTTCTTTATTCCTTATTTCATCTCCATTCTCCTCTTTCCCCAAAAATTCATTTCTTCTATATATCTTAATCGTAAATAAATGTGATGTGTTTTAACTAGTTTATAATAGTTATTATGTCTTTGTTCTAGTGATATGTTTTTATATTACCATTTATATTTTTGTTTTCTTTGTTCAATTAGAAGTGATGTGTTTTTCTCATTATCATGTATATCTTTTTTTTCTTTGTTTACGTATACCAAGCTTGTTTTGATTTCATCCTCAAAACTGGTTTTAGCCAGTTTTCGAGATGGGCCTGGATTTATTAACATTCTTTTTTTTTTATTTAATTTATCTATATAAAGACCACGAAAAATGAAATTCATGATGGTGATTTTTTTTATGAATGATTTTATTAATTTCTTTTTTTGTAACTATTAAAATAAATTTGTTTTACCTTAATTAAACTACATTGTCCGCTGGATACCTTGACTAAAACTTTGCCCTAACACGGTCCCCAGGATTCCATCATCGACCATCCCGGACCCCCGAACACAGACAGTGTTCTCCCCACTCTGACGGTGGGACCCGTCGGTCAAAATTCAACAAAATGGGCATATGTTTGATTTATTGTGATCATTGTTATAATAAAAGAAATTTGCCTGAATAACAAATTAATATGTTTAAAATGTTTATGTGTGACATATAATATAATGTTGTGAATTTCTTTCTTTTTTTTGGTTGTTTTTTTATATCAACATGGAATGTTTATCTTGTGTGCATATGCATTATATTATTTATGTTTAAAAAAAAGACAGATCCATTTAGTTAATAAATAGTTAGAACAATTATAAATTAAAATTTCTAAGTTCATTACATAATTATCACTATTCACACTGAATTATTTAAAACTTAATGATAGAGAAAATATAGCATCATATTAAAAATAATAAAGAATATTTAATTTTACAATAGATAAAACATAACAAAATTCTAATTTTTATCGTTCGCCTCTCGACTAGTGTTGTTAATTTGCTTGGTCGTAAAATTTACGACCCTTTTATGTGCTCAGGCCGACCCGGGGTTCAGACCCGGGGTCGTGTCGTGTAACGATTTAATAAACAAGTTGATAATTAAATATTTTTTTATTGTAATAATAATAATCACTGATAGAGGGCGGGTCTAAGGTCTTGGGGGGTCAGGAATAATTTATCAAAACAAATATCGATATATGGGTAAAATATAATCTAAATACTTTAGATTAAAAGTATTCATTTTTTATCTTGATGGGTATGACTTGGTTTTGGAGGTGGATGGGAGGGGGGGGGGGGGGGGTTGTGAAAAATAATATTTTTTGATATGGAAATAAAAATATTTTTTTGTAATAATAATAATGATCACTCATACAGGGAGGGTATAGGTCTTGGGGGGTCAGATATATTTTTATTAACACAAAATATCGATATGGGTAGTGTTGTTTAATTGGTTGGTTGTGTAAATCCCAAACCCGAGGTTTGGGTCTAATAAAATCACTGCGATCTACATTAGCAATATTTATATAAGAAATAAGCCAGCATTAACTCGAACCCCATAAATAATGTTGTTTCAAATATTTTAATTAAAAATTATTTATCAATAATATCGAACTTAAATAGGAAAATCCTGCAAGCAACTCAGCTTATGACTAAAAAAATTTTAATCGGGGCCACTTACTTAGGGCTTGGAAATAATTAAAATGAATTATTATGTAGGTTTGCTTATAGATTATTTCTATACCATCCTGATTTTAGTTCAGAATTAGATACGAACTTTCTGACCGGATTTATTTAATTTCATCAACTAGAGTATGAATATTTAATAATATATTTAATTAAAATATAATTTTTATTTTCGGGTTTTTAATAATAAAATTAAGTATCTGTAGCTAATTTTTTTAATAAAATCCCCTATTTTCTTATGTGATAAAAAAAGTAAATTATATATTTCTACATGATTTTAAAATCTAAAATAAAGATGTGATTGATATTAACGAGTGGCTTAGCGTCTCTAGTTTCTATAAATATAATAAAATATTTTTATTTTACATAAAAAATTCAACATAAAATTGATTAATTTAGATCTTATTTCCGTCAACATTCTCGATGGAAACAGTTATAATTATAAATTTGATGAAAATTAATTTCCATTTTTTTAGATTTCGGAAGAAAAGGAAGTTTTTCAAAAAAATTTCAGAAGCACATTTGTTTTCAATTATAATTTTATTCGTATTCGTAAATATCATCATCATCGTCATCGCTTTTCTTATTATGTATAATATAATTATAATAACCATATTAAAACTGAAACAGAAAATAAAATATAAAAATGAAATCAGATAATTACTAATTACTAATTATCTATTAAATTAGTTTTTCAAACTTCAAAGATATGTATGATATAGATCGAATTTTCTTTTCGATATATCATATCGTATGTGAGTTAAAGAGGTTGTGAAATATATTAATCAAAAAACTAGTAATTGCCTCAATTATATATGAATCTTGTTTTGTTATTTGGTTTGAAGAACGCTTTGAAAAATAATTATTTAAGTTAAATTACAGAGTTTTTAAAAAATAACAATTAATAGTAAATTTTATTTTATTTTTGCAATAAAAATTTTTATATCTGAAGGGGTTTTATTTTTGAATCGTCAACATATTTTTTTAATATTAATAATATTAATAAACATTCATTGTTATTTTTTTGCGCATTCTGTTTATAAAAGTGCGATAATCTCTTAAGAATCTGTTTTTAGTGAATTTGGTGATATTGACTTGACAGTTAACATCGCCGTAAACGTAAACTGATTTCTGATAAATAAGTAAATTTTGGTATTTCTAATAAGAAATCTTCGATTTATTAATGTTAAATATTGTTTAAAATATTTATTCAAATTTCATAATATATTTGTTTATTATTTATTTATTATATATATAGATTAATGTTACTTATTACTATAAAAATATTTTATATACTTTTAGAATTGCAATAGAATTGAATATAAACTATAACTGATCATTATAATATTTTTAAATAAATGACATAAAAATTAGATATGATATCGATCGGTAATCGGTCGATATCAATTTAATATCGGGAATATCGGATCGGATAGGCCTCCAAAAAGTGATATCGGTACACACCTACTTAAAACCCAAATTTATTAGTTATACCTTTAAAACCCGTGGTGATCCTGGAAAGTTGACATCCCTTTAAAAATTATGACATATATAATATTGGGAATATAACTTTAATATAATAAAGAAAAACTTTTTATTGGCCATTTCATCACAAATTATGAATTTATATTTCTTTTTATTATTTATACATGCATGAATGACGTTGAATTTTTATATTGGTCCACATTTAATTCCAATATCAATATGTGTTAAAATAAAATTTTACTTTTTTATTTTTTTTCCGTCATGCACTCTTTTTGAATATTTACTGATATTTTTAATTTACCATAAAAATTTTTGATCAAAAGAAAGTCCCCAAAAATGGTAAGAAAATGATAATAAAAAAAGCTTTAATAATTTAGAATGAATAAGATAAGAATAAGATTTAATTTAAGATTAGAAAATGATTTTTTTTTTTACTTTTCATTTATCCGAGCCCC